CTGTTCTTTATGTCTGTGTGCAGAATAACTTTTGTTATGTGCGCCAATATGGAGGTGATGTATCATATAACACAGAGCAGCTGCAGTTGAGGAGGAGGCATCCCTCTCTGCCGGCCCCAGCATGGAGCTGATGTGGTCACTGGAGAGGCCCTGCTGCCCCTTGCCACAGCAAGGAGCTGACACAGCCGGGGAAGAGGTGCACTTCCCTGACAGCACCTGCCATAGCAGCTGTGTGTTGGAGCTTGTGGGCAAAGGTGGGGTGCTATGCGGCTGCCCTGAGCTCCTGTGTAGAGTTTAAGTAGCTGTGTCACTGAAAATAGGTCAGTACTCTCCCTTAAATATCATGACCACACCAACATATTTGAAAAGAAAAGCACATAAAACTTCCCTCCATACCAGGACTTTGATTGAATTTCAGGAAAGTGTGAAAATACCACTCAGAACCCAGCTGGTGTCAGAAAGCTCACCTACACATCAGGTCCTCGGGTTGTGTTCTTGGCCTCTTCATTAAGAAAAAAAGATAGCAGTCTCTGACCCTGTGTTGACTGAGCTTTAAATCAGACAATGATCAGGCTCTGGTATTTGCTTCTTCTAATTTTAGAATTTTTGGGCTGTGTAGGGACATTCAAGTATATACACCAGCCTGGAGCTCATGGTAACCTACAATATTGTTTTCAGCAGGTCAGGGATGAATGAAGATTGTCTTCTGAATTCACTATGACCACTTTGAATATTTAACAATATTGTTTGGGTTGACAAATGCCCCATGTTCAACCAACATTTTAAAAACAATGTGATATAATATTGGATCAGTACATTGTAGTCTACCTGGATGATATACACAGGATACCCTCATGATTCACGGAATTGCTGTTTGCGGTGTGGCATATTTGCGAGCGGTCTCCTGTTCCAACTGAGAAGAGGGGAGAGCAGTGAGTTCCCTACAGCTCCTGGCAGCTGAAATTAATTCCCCATTGATCCTGATCCCCATGGTGAATTTCCTGTTGTGAGTTCAGAAGCTATGGGGAGCTGACTGCAGGGGCTGGGAGCTACAGCTCCCAGTATTTATGAATTTCATCATTAGTGGTGGTACCAGGAAAGCATCTACCATGAACGGCGAGAGTTTCCCATATTGGTCTTTTTAGATGAACCTGAAGAGCATACTGTTCATGTCTGAACTGTCCTGGAGAGGCTACGGCAGCATGGTCTCTGTGCCAAGTTTGAAGAGAGTCATTTGACTAGAACACTACAAAGTTTATTCTGCCCCCAAAATGAATCAAGATGGACTCACCCAAGGTTTAGACTCTCTGTGACTGGGCAGCTCCATGTAATGTATGCAACCTATATAATTTTTGAGGGTTTGTTAAATTTGTATTAACAGTTCATTCCAAATGTTTCAAAACAAATTCCACCCCTCAGTAGTCTGCTCTGGAAAACATCCAGCTCCATTGGTCCCCTGAGACCCTGTGTGAATTTGAACAGTTGAGCCTTACTCTGAGGGAATGGAGAAAGGGTATCACAAGGGTTAAAGAAAGTTTTGGGTCTAGCTAGTCCCATCCTGCTTTACTTGCGGACAGTGCCAGGCCTGGAGGCAGGAGAAAAAGAAGGAGCCTGGCTCAGTTTGGGGCTGACTAGCGAGGAGGTAGGAGCCTGGTTCCACAGTCTAAAGGACATCAACCAGAGCTTGCCCACTCAGCAGCGAGAGGAGCAAGTCCTCAATCCCAACTCTCTGGTGGGAGCAAGTAATTCCCCACTCCAACCCCTTTGGGAAAAGGGGAGGGGAACCTATGGAGAAGCCCCACCTAAGGCAAATCTGGAATCTTGGGACCATGCCCCAAGCTTAAGGACTTGACTAGGCAGTGGTTTGGATTTCCTGGGCCAGGAGCACTAGCGACAGGGGGCCCAATGCTCCCTCTCCTTGCCTGCTTATTCTGTGACTTAGCCACTAGGCTACACAGCCTCCAGGAACCAGGCCACACTTACCTTCACCATCCCTCCTATATTGGCTCACTCAGATGTCCTCCAAGCTTTTGTTGTGGATGTTGACCCTTCCAGCATGGCAATTAGAGTAGTTCTTTCCCAAAAACAAAGACCAAAGCAAGTATTGTATCTTTTCATGTTACTAGAAAACTTACCTTTGTGGAACAAAACTGTAAGAGCACAATTAAAGAACTTCTAGCAGTCAAAACCACCTTTGAGTAGTGGTGACATTATTTGGAAAGGTTTATCACTTGGTCCAAGTGTTTACCAATCAGCACATCATAGAGCACTTACAACAGGGACAAGCCCTGGAACCAATAGCAGCTCTAGTGGACTGTATTCTTCTCAAATTTCAGTTTTACCATTATGTATTACCCCAGGACCAAAAATGGCTGGGTTAATTCCCTATCACAAAAGGATAAGGAACTGGCGCATGAGGTCTCAGCCAGGAACTGGCCCACATTCTGAAGCCTGGGCACTTCCTTAATGCAGCTCTCCACCAGGCTCTATTCACACTGATACATTCTGCTTCCGCCTCAGGGATTCCATCTGATGAACTTGCCATTATAAACAAAGAACCACATACAGTTCGAGGGATCATTTCATGGATGACTGTATTTATATTCCTCCAGGTCCTGCAAGAGAGGTATCCCTAAGTTATGTCATAACTTCCCTCTATCATGGGACTTTGGTGCTCTAATATCCAACGGCTAGCATTCCATTTTTTGTGACTCCAAATAACCCTCAATTCTAGCATATCTTACTTACATCCAGACAGCCATCAAAAACCCTGCAGTCTTCCCCAACCTCTGGAAATTCTGGGCAGCTGTTGCCTTGGTTCTCATCATGGAAGTACTGGAATCTAATAGATTCATGACAGTTTTGATCACAATCCACTTCACCAGGATGGACAGTTTTATTCCTTAAACTAATCTACTCCCTGTTAAGGAAACAGCTCAACTATGGATAAACAACACAGTCTGTCTCCATGGCCCCTTAGGTGTAGCTTTTTGTAACCTTTGTTTAAAAAGTTCCCAATTAAAATGAAATTGTTAAAGATAAGGGTACAATAAAACCTAACTTAGTTATTAAGTTCATGTTTCTAAGCTGGTTAAAAATATATTCAGTGGAAGACCAGTAGAGATCAGTCAGGGCTGTTCGCCACTCTGGCACTTCAAGTGCAGAAGACGAGGGCCCACAAGAGACTTTAAATACCTTGACTCTATAGTCTCTGCTTACAAAAACTCCCTTAGTCACCGGGGGCTGGCCAGCACTCTTCGTATCCACCACAGGGTCCATTTTTAAAAGAAAAGTGATTGGTTAAGCAAACAGGCATACAATTTATATTTGCACAAAAGCTACTGCCATACTACTACTCAAGAATGAAATGGGGTCTCAATGGATGATCTGTGCATTGTCAACAGAGTGCAATGTAGCCTTATAATTCTGAAGTATAGTGGTACTCTTTTGATATTAAATGGAAATCTCCTGCAATTTAGCAAATCTATTTCTCTTGTATTCCATGATTATAATACTAATTAACATTCAACTTCTGTTTACCATAATTAAATTCCATCACCTTTTTTTATTGACTGTTTACATTGAACATTATTTAAATTGACATGTGCACCAGTGTTCTTGCTGTACTATCAGTATAGATAGCATATAGTAATAATACATTCACAGATCTCAAAAACATAACCTTGCTCAAAACAGTAATAACCAAAACATAATCGTAACATAAACATGAGTCATGTCCTTACAACCTTTTACCCTCTCATAAAACATTTGTCTCTAACTGATCTTTGACTCTTTTCACACTAGCAACTTCAGTTTCTCATGCTCCTCTATACTTAGGCCCCAAACCTAACTTCTACTTATATCTTAACCCAAACCATCACGTAGGTTACATGGATCATTTTACCGCCAATAGAGGACCACAATTGATTTCCTGGTCCTGATGCAAGAACCTGAGCATACTTGTGGGGAGAGAGGTGGAGAGGGAAAAGAGGGAGGGCTCCCACACACAGACTTCCTCTGCCTAACATCCCTAGTCCAACAGCAAGACAAAAGAGGGTGAATTGGTTCCTTCAACGGTAACTGCAGTGTTTCTCAGTTACCACCAGTATGAGGTGTCATCACTTTTTTTTTCATATGTGAAATTTATGTATAGTGACTCATGGTCAAATCCACCTTTTTTGCCACCTTTAATTTCATCTGAAACTATGGGCAACCTCCTCTAACAAGACTGCCTTGAATTTGGCACAACAAAATAATCAAATCCAGAAGGAAGTAAGGGGACACCTGGAAAAGGCAAAAACAGACTAAATGATATGCAGGTCAGCGTTGTCAGCAGGGACCTGTTCAGAGGGACAAAAATAGTATGGCTCTTTATGGAGCAATTTTGTACAGACATACCCTCTTGTAAACTTTACTACCAGGTTGTTAGGCCCTGTCAAATCCAGTGATAAATTAAGTCTGTAACATTTGAGCTCCACCTACCCTGATCTTTTTTAATCCATCCAGTGTTCCATGTATCACTCCTAAAATCAAACTGAAAGAACTCATTTCCCCACAGGACCCAACCATGTACTGGGCCATGAGGAATACACCATTCATGAAGTTTTAGACTCCAACTTAAATAAGGTAGGCTCTGGTACCTGATTTACTAGAAAGGTTATGGTCCTGAAGAGCACACCTGGGAATCAGCAAAAAAAAAGTTCACCCAGGCTTGAGTCTTCCACAATAGTAACCTTGGAAAGACTAAACCAGAATTATCAGGAAGGTGCTTGTAGTGAAGGTGATGTCATGACCCACAGCTCTCAAACCCAGGTCTGCATGGTTCCTTTGGGGGTGGGGTGGAGGGGAAGCATGCTTCACCCTCCACCTGATGGCTTATTTATATCACTAGAACTGTGACTCCTTGCCCAACTCAGATAGAAGGCTCCAGTCCTGGGCTCCAATTGGCAGAACACTAGAGCTTCTGACTGGCCCATTCATCCTACTTATGATAAAAGGAGGAACAGGAGGTTGTTTATATACTGGGATTCCATCCTGCTTTGGACTGCACCACCACTGCCTATTCCTGAAGATGACCTCCTGGTTTCCTGACTTGGTCTGGTTCTTGATATCTGTTTATGGTTTCTTGATCTCAGTCCTGACTTCCTGGTTCTGAACCCTATCTGGCATGAAGATTTGTTCACCCTTCCCTGCACAAACCACCAGGCCTGACCCATCTACATCCCAGCTGATTGCTATTAATATTGCTGTGCTTTTGCAACTATTAATGTATCTTCTTACTGCTACCTTGAGGGATCAGTAACTGTCATAACTATTATTCACCCATTTTTCAGAAAAGATCATTGGAAGCTTATACAGGGTCAGGCAAGTGGAGAATTGAGCCTAAGTCTCTAATAGAGCCAAATCTTATTCAGTTTGCCAACAGCTTTTCAGAAGGAGCATGTCAAATTATGTGCTTCTATAATTCACACAAATAGTGTGGCTTTTTGTTTTCCACTAGTGACTAGATCACATGTAGAGCGTTTATAACTCTGTTGCGACTTCCATATTTGGACTCTAAATCTTTAGCTCAGGCATTTATATCCAGAGGTTCCACAGTTTAGTCTGTCCCTGCAGACAACTCATACGGGGTTTTGTTACATTTGGCTACATGGTCTGTAACTCTAGAATACAATTTGCTTCCAGATCCAAGAATAGAAACCAGAAATCCTGATGCTGAGAATTGCGCTGCTGTCTAACAAATACTTGTGTAACCCACTGGTAATGCGTGTTGTGCTTTTCTTTATGGATTAGTCCACGTAAGGATAAGGGTATACTTTCATTCTTCTGTAGCTAACGTAGAAGAGGTCTGTGTTGTGAATCTGAAGACTGAGGAGTCATATCCCATTGATGACTCTAGCAGAGGTGGAAAATTGTATATGTTTGTCCCCAAGTTAGTGTAAGGACCTTGGATATAGTAAGTGGTGGAATCATTTTATCTTGGATGTGAAATTGGATGTTGCATTCATACTTGTTTTTTACTATTGCATTTTTAGTATTTGTATTTTGATTAATGGGAGGCAGTCTCTATTAAAGCAGGCATGGGATTTCATTGTAGAGCATATTTTAGTGGTAAGAGCAATTGTGGGATATTTTGCCTGTGTGGCCAGAGAGTGGAAGACCCATCTGTGCAAATGCCAAGTAAGTCAGAACTTGATTTAATAAACTTTATTTTCCAAAACGCAGCCTCATTCTCAAAGATATAACATTTGTACGTACAGAATACTGGATGCCTCAGGGCATTGCTAAGGAGCTATAGAGGCTTTCACCACTCTTTCTGAGTTCAGCAAGGATTGTTCCCATCTAATGGATGTTTTGTAGTCCCATATGAGATGAGATTGGTGAGTCCCAGTTTGAGTTCCCATGTCACAAACTCATCACTATATTTTTCACTTCATTGTAGGCTTTTGGGGACAGAGACTATGTCTTACCATGTTTTTCAACAATACCTAGCACAATGGGGCAATGGTCTCAATTGGGTATTCTAGGAATAGTTTCTGCCGGAGAAACAAAATCTCCTTACTTGCTGTATATTTGTAGATGTTGGTAATTCTATAATCATTACATGTATTGTGAGATGGCAGAAAGAGTTGAAAAATTAGAAGACAGACCAAAAATATGATTCATACTTCTTTTTAAAATCTCTTTATTTTTGTCTCAGAGATATAACTGTATTAGTCTGTAACTTTAAAAACAACAAGTAGTCCTATGGCACTGTTGAGATGAACAGAAATATATAGTATCATGAGCTTTTGTGGGTAAAACCCACTTCTTCAGATGATGAGCTTTATTTTTGTTCTACTTTAATGATTTTAATCACCTGGGTCTTGATTTTTGGAGTTGGCAACACTAAGATTATGAAATAATTTTTATCAGCTTTTGCTGTCATGTATCTTTGAGTCTGATTGCAAGTAGATCTGTGAGGAGTGTGTTTTGTAAATTAGGTGCATATGTAAATTAAAAAAACAAAGCTATGCTACAGAAATATGAAAGGATGGTTTATCGTCAAAAGCAGGTTTTTTTGGGCTGCAGTTTTAGTGAGCTGCTCCAGGACAAAGCATGGTAATAACAGTGGTAGGCCAGTGAGGTCATTGTGATGTCAGTGTTCCTGCTTGTAATCCTGCACATGCTTGCTAGTTTGGAACATTTCATGTTGGGCTGTGATAGAGCAACAAGAGAATCCTGTATGCAAAAGCTGATCATGGCAGTAACAGGAGATGAAACAGGTAAGAATCTCTTGTCAGGGTATTTAAAATAGCTGGCTGCATAGATTATTTGGAAATAAAGAAAATATTTTGTGGTTAGAAGTATGAGGAATTTGTTTTTAGAACTTGATGGAGTACCTATTTAATGTATAATGCTAACTGGCAAAAGTTGGTGCCAATTATTTTTATTCCCCATTAGCTGATAAACATTTTAGTGTAAATTTGCCATTTTAAAAGCACTCTTTAGTGTGTCTTTGTTGTTGCATTGCTAACTTCAGCACTGCAGCAGTCTCTTTTCTTTATAAATGATATGTGCAGCTGGTCTTTTGCTTTTTGGTTTAAAAATAAAACTCATGTTAGATTATTTTAGTCTGTCAAAACTAAAGTGCAGTTGTAAGTGAAAGATGTTCTCTGTTCCAATTATTTAAATAAGCCTTTTCTATTAATTGCTAAATAAAATAGAGAGCACAAATGCATGTGAAAGAGCTGCAGTGTTTTGAGTGTTGTAATGCCTGCTTGTTTCTTTCCTCCTCTGTTTAAAATGGTGCGTTCCTCAGCTAATTGAGTTCAAAAGGCTGACGTCATTAGATTTCCTGGAATCATGTTGCAGTAGGGAACTGGAAAAGTTAAACTCCAAACAAGATACACATTGACGTCAGCTCCGAGTCATGCTGTGATTTAGTCAGTTCCTTTCTGCTTCATCAAACGCTGATGGCAGAGTTGTAATCTTAACTAGTTTGCAGCCTGTGCCTACATGCTACTGTTAGCTGAGTAAAACTGTTTCATATACTTTATTTTATTACTCCAAAAGTGTATCTTCTTTAGGTCTACTCTTCAAGTTCTAGTGCTCAAACAAACAATTCTTTAGGAGTTAACTAGAAAGATTATATGGTAAAGCTAAAAACCTTTCTAATAAGGTAGACACTACATTTGCTTCACCGAGGGGGAAAGATATATAGCATGTCAGATTCTCTTTTCCTGAATAGCCCTTATAAAAATTTAACTCTGCATACTCTCTGGTGTTTAGAAACAGAAAAAAATTCAAAAGCCTGTTTTTAAAGGGATTTTATTAGCATATTGTTCTTATTAAGCCTTCCAGATAAGATGAATTTACAGGGTTAATTTGCCTAATAGCAGTAAGATTAAAAGTTTCTTAGGTGGGATTTTTTGGTAATTTAGTCATTTTGTAAATTATGTACCTGAACTCTGATACAGCCCAAGGCTTTCAGTGATGCTTTTTGCAAAATTTGCTTAATTCTTTTCAATAATCTTAAGGAAAAGTAACTAGCCTGGGCAATGCAGTGAGAGTTTGGGTCAGCCATTAAAGAACTGTCCTGGTTCCTAGTCATTGGCTGTTACCAATTTCTACCACTGAGTTAATGTTTGATTTCAGTTTGGTCTGTATTGTGAAAATAATTTACAATAACAATGTACATGCAGTTTTTTACAGAGACATAATGAATATTACTGTATTTTCATAAGATAAGAAAATTAATCACATATTTTTTATTGTAACTCAGATTTTTTGGGGATTTTGTTCAGGACGAAAAAAGACCACTTTCCTCTCTAATAAAATCCTTCAGTCTGATTTATATGGTAGACCAAACTCTTACACTTGAATAGAATACCATTTAAAACAATAGGGTTTCACATGTTTTTAGGGGCCCATCAGATTATATTATTTCTTTTGCTTTTTAGGTTGTTGAAATACAGTCTCATAGACTCCTACTCCATATGATGCTTTGACTTTCTCTGTGACGGTGATCTCATACCTGCCAGGGAAGTCACCAAAAGAATACGTGGTACAGTATCATATAAGGCAGGAGCTGGTGAATCTGTATGTTGGGGGACCAGAAAGACAAAACAGATTAGTTTAAAGAAAAAAATAAACTTGAATGACCCTCTTTATTTTGAAGCTTTTCACTTCCACTCTTCCAGTGTTTAATTTATCGTTATTATTTTATTAGTTATTGCACGTATTTGTGAGGCATTCATCACTATGGCATTTGGACACATTTCATGTAGTTTAGAATGGTATCAAACATCAGTACCTGTAAAGCATCTCAGTCTTCTTATCAAAACTTTTCATAATTCCATCCCCTACTTAAATCTTAAACCTTGCCTTTTGTCCCCTCTTAACCAGTTCACACAGTGATTCTAGTCTCAGTGCATAATTTCTTTCTCTCTTCATGGCTCTGCATTTTTATACCACCTTATGGTTAGGCAATAGTGCTCATACCAGCTTTCCAAGTATAGTCCTGTCTTCACTTTCAAGTTCCTCTTAAATACCCACTTTTTTGTGAGTCTCATAAGAATTTGTTTTACCGATAATTAAAACTCAGCCACCACCATCAACAAATTAAATAAAACAACCCCATTTTCTGGAGTACACAGTGTTCCCCATCTTTTGGGTCTGTCTTTTAGGCTGTGATATCTTTTGGGACAGGAACTATCTTTATTACTGCATGTTGGATAGCACCAAAGGCTCTTGGTGCAAAGCAACTAATAATTAATAACAGAAAAACAGGTGGATATACTATGTATGTACAACTGTTCACATCACTTTTAGCAGCTTGTCTTTAAGAAAATTGGCAATTTCCTTTCCGGTTACTTCCAGTTTTTGGAGACATTATATAAAATGGTTTGCAGATAGAAATAACCATAACTCAAAACCGATGTCATTCAGTGTGTTGTAAAGTACATTAAAGAAATTTACTCTACTGCGTAATTATATTATCTTGTTATCCTATGATGTAAACTAAAAATGTTGAGGCTTTGTCTGAGTTTTCGTGTAGTGATTCAATTGCTAGCTTTGCTGGATCAAAACAATTGTTTTCCTCTAACATCACGCTTTTAGAACTCACTGGCAGCTATTTGTTAGGGAGGGAAAGACATTATGCTGACCTGGTCAAGGCATTATTAGCATTATTTATTTGAATTACAGTAGCATCCTCTAGAGGCACCATTTGGGATAAGGGCTTAATTGGGCTAGAACTATATACAGGCAGTCCCCGGGTTATGTACAAGATAGGGACTGTAGGTTTGTACTTAAGTTGAATTTGTACTTAAGTCGGAAATGGCGTCCAGATTCAGCCGCTGCTGAAATTGACCAGTTCTGCCCCGGGCTTCCTGGAATCAGTCGCTGATCAGTTTCAACAGCAGCTGAATCTGGACGCCTGGGACAGAGCAGCTGGGGCACTGCCGGGTAGGTCCCCGCAGCGCTGCACCTCGGCACTGCGGGGACCT